AGTATCGCTAATGAAGTTAAACATCTTTTCATAAATTTATTGGTACTTTGTAGTTCCATGAATTGCCTGTATTTTTTGCTCATTGTTCAGCTGAAATTTTTGGAAGGGTATTGATTTGATCTTGCTATTTATATATTCTAAATGGTAATCATTTAACTGTTTATACGTTTTATATTTAGTCTTAGTTTGTCCCTTGTCTTGTAACTTTATGGCAACTTCTATTAAATGAAAGATTTATATTTTATATTTTAGTGGTAAACTTGGTAATTTTTTTCTTTACTATTTCTGGGTTATGTGGCTTAATTATGTACTCTGATTCAAGAACAGTTTTTGCTTATTTCATAAATTTTTAGTACTTCAGTAATTAACTTGTTTTTAAAAATATGAGTTTGAATATGGAAATAAAAATAATCTTATAGAGATTGAAATAATATTTGAATCAGATATGAGAAGAGTCTTGAGTTATAAAGAAATACAAATCAGTCTGAAATGTTATTACTGCATTATATACATAATAAATATATTCATTGTGTTACTAATTTCTTTCAGTTGCAATTGGAAATTCATTACTTATGTTTCATACTGTTTTGAAATATTTTGATTAGGTAATATTTGTACATGGTACAAAATTCAAAAGGTACAGAAGAGTATATAATGAAAAGTCTTCTTTCTACTCCTATTCTTTATTCAGTTTTCTTTCTTGGAGACAGCCAGTTTTATCAATTTCTTTTGTCTTTTTCCAGAGATATTTTATGCATATACATAACCTATGGTTTATGTTAGTTGAATTCTTTTCTTTTTGTGACTTTATAAAGTTGCACCTGCTTTAAACATAATTTGGCCTGTTCTTTAGGCCAAAATCATTCATAGTTCCAGAAGGTAAATTAAAATAATTGATGAATAGAGAGCGGCTGTCAACAGTTAAGAAGGGACACATGCTGCATCCATGTTACAAATGTTAGCTGATTAGCGGGCATGACAGAACTTTGCATTTAGAAGGGCTTTTCCTTTTGTTTTCTGAAATGATCTAAAACAAATCTATTTTCTTCCCTCTATTTAATCCGATCTAATAGAATAGAGACTTCTGATTATCCCAGACTTGCTATTACCCTCTAAGAATATATACTTCCTGTTACGGAAATGTGAGTTAAAGCAAATTACAAAACTTGAACTCCTAGAAATTACCCAAACTAACCCTCCTCTTTTATATATGAAGAAACTGAGGCCCATAAAAATGAAGTGACTTGCAGCATCACGTTTATTATTCCTGAAGGACCATTTATAATGAAATGACCTGGAAGTAACATAAGTTTTTGAAATGCTATTTTATTAAAAAGATAGCTAGCAAATTTTTTCTCCATTTTTTAAAGGAAAAGATGTAGATGTTGCAATTTTATATTTTTATTGAAGGTTTTTTAAAAAGGCTTTACAGTATTTCATTTCCTTATTGCATTTTTGTCTGTAAACTGGAATCATAAAACATGTTCATCATTAGGCATTCTGTAATACTTGGAAGATTGTAGGGAATGGTTTTTATTGTATGGGATGGAGTTGGAGATTTATGGAGCCTTTCTTATGCACTTTTTCCTTGACTATAAAATTTATAATGGCTGTATCCTAATTCCTTAACCTTATACTTCTGAATCACTCTTAGCCTTGTGTATTTTTCTTCTTCATAATCTATATTATAAGTAAGTAAAGTAACCTCACTGCAAAGGAACATTTAAATGTATCTATTTATATTTGGTTAGAAAGCTACCACTTAAAAGTTATTTTCATGAAACTTTTTCCATATCCATGTATGGAAATATACACAAAAGTCAGTATGTTTGTTGACATCACTTCTTTTTTCTTCTTATTCTTAGACTTCTAAAATAATTTTATTTCTTGCCCCTTAAGACATCCTTCTGATTTTGTTTCATTAAGATAGCAATCAGTTGAAGTCCACATAGAGACCCTACCTGGAATTTACTTTCTATAGATATTAATTGTAGCTAAATACTAAAATTCTAACCACCTTCCAGTTGGTTTCCAGATGTACTATATTGTGAAAGAAAACTTTTGTTTCCTTATCTCACGTAGTTCAGATATTCTATATAAGTAAAAATTTATTTCTTAAAGGAAAATCCATGGAGATGTTCTTCCAGTTTTTTTTTATGGGTAAAGCTGTCATTTAATATGGAAATACTGAAACATTCTGATTTTTTTCCACTTTGTTTTCTGTTTTCAGTGGAATACACTTTATTGTTGACCCTACATAAATTCTGCCTGGTAATTGTTCATATGTGCCATCAGTTGCGGGTCTACCTAAGATGCTGTCAGAGCTGACTTTGGCTAAACAGTCAGATTGAAGGGTCAGAACTCTATCCTTTTGAATGGCCCTTAGAACAGTTGGAAACAAATTATCTACTTTTTAAGAGGTATTTCTTCATTGATTTTTGTATCTTAATTCAACTAACATTAAACATTTAATATGTACTGTGCATCTCATTTTAAAAGATAATTTTAGTTGTCTACTGATCGACAGCCCCGCTGAGGAGGGAGAAGCAGCATTTATTATCCTACTCCTCTGAATTAGAAAAAAATTTTAGCTTTGTAGTGATTAATAGTTGAAGGAGATTAAAAAATATTCATGAATTTCATGTTTGTCTATGTTATCTTTAAAAAACATAAGTATATAGTGTACCTAATTTCTAAATTATGTATCTAGGATTTGGGGAGACTCTACAAACTTTTCAGTAACAGGGTAGCTGGAAAACAACAATTCTAAGATACAGTCATTAAGCATCTACCTATGTTTTATATTATATCCAGCAATAGTTAAGCTTATTAAAAATTAAAATTCTGGACAGGGTGATTAAAATACCATACCTTTCTATGGGGAATTTCATAGTATAGAATTAAAACTTGTCTTTTTGAGATTAATTAAGAAAAAAATCAACCCTGCCGAATTCTAGGTTAATTAGGGTATGTTTTCTGAATCCAAAATTTAAATGTCAAATCAGTGTAGAATCTGTATGAACAAGAATGTGTTTCTTCTTCTAGGCTTTGTTGACCAGAAGTGATGGCGGCATTAAGCATGTAGTTATGATTTAAAGTGGGACTATTGCCATTGTTTCTTGGTAACTCCAGAGTTACTTCATATTTAGACTGAGTATTGAATAATATGAGGCCTACAAAATGTTTAATGTCATTGGGTATATTGAAAAACATTAGAAAAATATCTCAATTTTGCACTCAATTTTCATGGTTGGTACATAGTGATATAAGTGAGTGCCCTGTAAGAAGCTTAGAGCTAAGTCTTTATGAATTCATTAAAAAAAATCTCAATTATTATTGCAGACTTAAAGGTAAAAGAAGGAATTATAGAGAGTTGATGTATCTTTTATCTTTGATATTTAGGTTGATAGTACCAATATGACTTAATATTGCAAACTTAAATCAGCCTTGTTTTGTTTGGCTCCAATGTGCAGGGTACAACATTTTGTGTGTTGCTGCCAGACTATAAACTTCTTAAGGTCAGGGCCAGTCTCTGGGGTATAGGATAGTGTCTCCCACAGAGAAAAGGCAGAGTTAAATTGATAAAAACCATTCTTTTGCTAGTATGGATTGTCTGAAGATTTGGGGAATGCTAAAATCACTAATCATTGTGCTAATCATAGGAGTAATCTCAGGGAGACAGTTCTGAAATGCGATGAGAATTTAGTGAGTAGAATTGCTGCTAGTCCGTTCAGCATGATAGTCTTTTATATTGCTCTGAGCCTTAAAATTTGAAAACTGCAACAACTTGGATGATTTAATATATGTGGCCTCATCTGTAAAATGAGAATGTTGACCTAATGATCTTCAGAATTCCTTCTAGTTCTAAATCTTTATGAATTCATTAAGAAAATTTCAATTATTATTGCAGACTTAAAGGCAAAAGTTAGAAGGAATTATAGAGAGTTGATATATCCTTTTATCTTTGATATTTAGGTTGATAGTACCAATATGACTTAACATTGCAAATTTAAATCAGCCTTGTTTTGTTTGGCTCCAATGTGCAGGGTACAATATTTTGTATGTTGCTGCCAGGCTATAAACTTCTTAAGGTCAGGGCCAATCTCTGGAGTACAGGACAGTGTCTCTCACAGAGAAAAGGCAGTAAGTGTTTATCAAGTGAATGTATTAAGACATACCTAGGGCAAGGTATTTAGGACATAACATGTTTTGATTAGTTTTGAAAATATTCTTTATTGTAGAAAATTTTAAATATGTGTAAGAGAAGACAATAATATTGTTTTAGCTGCTATAACAGAATACCATAGATTAGGTGGCTTATAAGTAGCAGAAATTTATCACAGTTCTGAAGGTTGGAAGTACAAGATCAGGGTACTTGCATGATGAGGTTGTGATGAGGGCCCTCTTCCTGGTTGCAGACTGCTGACTTCTCATGATATCCTTACAAGGCAGAAGGATTGAGCCAGCCTTCTGGGGTCTCTTTAATAAGGGCACTAATCCCAATCTTATGAGTTCAGCCCTCATGACCTACTCACCTCTCAATGGCCCCATTTTCTAATACCATCACTTTGGGAGTTACCATTTCACCATGAATTCTGGGAGGACACAAACATTTAGACCATAGCCAATATAATGAACCTCCATTTACCCATAATCCCTACTTTAGTAGTTATGATTATTTATGTTTCATCTTTACCACCTCCCACTCTGCTCTTTCATTATTTTGAAACAAATGACAGATTTTATATCATTTAATCTGAAAATATTCTAATGTGTATCTCTCAAAGATAACAACTTGAAAAAAAATCATAGCCATACTTTTATCACACCTTCAAAGAATAACTAGTTTTGATAAATATTAAATTAATTTCACTTCAAAATATCTGGACTAAATATTTCTAAGAAACTTGTTATGTGTAGTTTCCAGACAGTTAATAACACTTAGAAATAAAAGAATAGAACTAATTTTTGTTTTGTTTTTGTTCTGTTTAATGTTTTAGGCTATCAACATGACGGCTGAAGAAACAGTGAATGTGAAAGAGGTTGAAATTATTAAGCTAATTTTAGACTTCTTGAATTCAAAGAAGCTTCACATTAGTATGTTGGCCCTTGAAAAGGAAAGTGGAGTCATAAATGGCCTATTTTCAGATGATATGCTTTTCCTGAGGTATGATTTCATTAGTACTGTGAAGTTTAATGTGGAGGAGGTAGCTCCTTCAAAGAAATATTAAGTATTAATAAGGTAATATGTACAGCACAGGTAGATCTTTATAATCATGAGAAGGCTATGTAAATGTAATTTTAAAAAGGTTTGTTTTTATAGTAGAAGATTTACAAAATAATGTTTTCAGTAGTAAGCTCCAGTCTGCTTTTTAAAAAAGTCACAAAAAAAGACCGCTTGTGACATTATCATAAAAAATATTTGACTAAGAAGTCAGAGATTCTGGAAAGATAAAATATTTCTGAAATACCATTTTTTTGGCCACAGGCATACTCACTATAGAAAAAGTATAGAAAAAGAAAAAAGAAAAATCACCTTACCACCCAAACACACCACTGATAATTTTCTACACATATTTTAAAAAATAACAGCAATTCTGTTGCATGTGTAACTTAGTATTCTGCTTTATCCACTAGTATCATAAGAATTCTCTTTGTGGTTACAAATTTATACCTTAAAATTTTTCAGTTTAGTTAATTTTCTGATGGTTCCTCTAGTTTTAGACAATTAAATTGTTTCCAAGTTTCTAATTTTTCTTAAATAAATGTTCTACTATCTTTTATACATATGACTTTTTCTCTGTCTTGGATGATTTCCTTAAAATGAGATTCTTGGAGATAGAATTACAGAGCAAAAGGGAATTAATATGTTTGCAAAAATGGGAAGCTAAATATATTCTAACTTGATTGGACAGAAAAAGAAAAACCAAAATTTCCAGACAAAAATGTATTCTGTACTTATGTGATACAAATATCCTTGACAAGGAGTACAGATTCTTGGACATGTGGCATTTTGTGACTTGGAAAGCCTTAAGAAATGAAATGTTCCTAAGTTATGGAAAAGCAACTTAGAAAAAAAAGCTTTAATATATTAGGGGAGTTTATTTAAACTCATTGCACTTGCCTGTGTTTGGTGTTATGAATGTCATCCATCTTCAGGCAGCTTAGTGATAGAGTCAGGATCCAGTACTGACGTGGTAGTCTTCTGGCAATGTCTTTCAAGAACTGCTGCTCCTGGAATTTATCAGCAGCTCTCAAATATCCCCCTCTGTGAACCTGTTGATTTGTGATGAAGTTTTCCTGGTCTGAGGTGAAATGCAAAGAATTATAGAAAAACAAGTTTTTCATTAAACTGAACATGTTAATCTCAAACAGCTGGCCTTTTAAATTGTGTCCTTCCTATTTTTCAAATATTAAAATGTCCCTTTATAAAATTACTATGATGTATATTGTAATTGATTTTTATTTTATTTTTTGTAGAATCAAAAGTTGACAATCCTATGTAAATCTTCCTGTCCATCCCTCCTTTTTTAAGTTTTATTGTTCTAAAAATCTGAAAGTAGAGAAATTGCTGTTTACAAAAGAAGAGCAGCAATAAGAATGCCTTGTAACTTTTGCGAGTTCCCACAGACAACTACAGTGGGATGAAAACTGATCTTATTCCTTGCTCTTTTTATTATCAGAGTGTAAACTTTAGTGTCAAATGCCTCAAAATGAAGAATTCACAATTTAGAGTGGGATTTCTTAACCTTGGCACCAGTCAACCTTTGGGGCCAGATAACTCTTTGCTGTGGGCATTGGGGATTGTCCTGTGCACTGTAGGATGTTTAACGGTGTTCTGACCTATACCCAGTGGATGCCAGTAGAACTGCCAGTTGTGGCATCCAAAAATGCCTCCAGACATTGCCAAATGTCTCCTGGGAGCAAAATCACAACCAGTTGAGAACCACTAATTTAGAGAAACTGAAACATCCACACACTGTCCCCTAAATAATACAGAATAGCTTTAACACTGTAAAATGAATGAGGAATAAAGGAACTTTTATATTTAGTTGACTGTTTTTACAGATGTGAAAAAATCATATATGTATTGGAATGAGGAGTGGTTGTAGATTCACAAATTCTCATACAGTGTATGTTGTTACAAATAAGTTGTAAAAAAATTTTATTTTATTATAGTGGTTGAGGGACCAAGGAAGATGTTAATCTCATTACAGACTTCAGATTGAAGTTTTAATGCTGTCTTGTCATCTATTCTGCTTTTAGTTAGCATAACCCAAATTTGATAACATAACTGAGTTTTCTTTATATAGGCAGCTAATCCTTGATGGTCAATGGGATGAAGTTCTTCAGTTCATTCAGCCTCTAGAATGTATGGAAAAATTTGACAAAAAAAGGTAAGATTTCATCTGAACTTTTTAGTATGTGATCATTGGTAGAAGCTTAGTAAAACAAAAACAATCAATAAATATTTTTTAAAAAGATTGTGTTGAGGGTGGGTCCTGGAGGGGAAAAAGATGGTGGCATGAAAAGTGTGGCAGAAATCTCCTCCCAAAACCACATATAGTTTGAAAATACAGCAAGTACAACTATTCCTAAAAGAGTGACCAGAAGTAAGAGTGCACCAGCCAGGGCTACATCTGGGAGAAGTCAACATCTGGAAAAGGGTAAAGTAAAAAAGCCGTGACCTGGCGGGACCCGAGCATTCCCCCACCCCAGCTCACTGGCAGGAGGAAGAGACTCAGAGGGGGGAGGGAGTGGAAGCACAGGACTGTTAAATACCCAGCCCTAGAAATCTACCCCACTAGAACAGACCCACATTGCATGGTGCTCTGGAGATTAGAGAGGCTGAAAACCAAAGTCAGAGACTAAGACTATGAACAGGTTCCCACAACCTGCTGTCCTGGGACAAAAGAAAAGCAGATATGTTAAAAGACTGCTCAACAGTCAGAAGGCTGCTAAAGGGGCAAGGGTTTAGAAGAAGGAACAGGTGGACAAAATTGACCTGGCATACTCAGCCCAGCAGGTTGGGAACTTTCAGGAGCTTCAGGTGCTCCATCCCCTTGGTTGGAAATGCAGCCCTGAGGTTCTCCACCATGATAAGCAGCCTGTTGTTCCTTCCTCCCCACCAGTACCTGCATGCAAACCCACTGTTTGCGCTATTGCTACAGACCAGCTGGAAGGCAGCCATGCCTACAGCAACTATATAATAGTTAAGCTTATTAAAAATTAAAATTCTGGACAGGGTGATTAAAATACCATACCTTTCTATGGGGAATTTCATAGTATAGAATTAAAACTTGTCTTTTTGAGATTAATTAAGAAAAAAATCAACCCTGCCGAATTCTAGGTTAATTAGGGTATGTTTTCTGAATCCAAAATTTAAATGTCAAATCAGTGTAGAATCTGTATGAACAAGAATGTGTTTCTTCTTCTAGGCTTTGTTGACCAGAAGTGATGGCGGCATTAAGCATGTAGTTATGATTTAAAGTGGGACTATTGCCATTGTTTCTTGGTAACTCCAGAGTTACTTCATATTTAGACTGAGTATTGAATAATATGAGGCCTACAAAATGTTTAATGTCATTGGGTATATTGAAAAACATTAGAAAAATATCTCAATTTTGCACTCAATTTTCATGGTTGGTACATAGTGATATAAGTGAGTGCCCTGTAAGAAGCTTAGAGCTAAGTCTTTATGAATTCATTAAAAAAAATCTCAATTATTATTGCAGACTTAAAGGTAAAAGAAGGAATTATAGAGAGTTGATGTATCTTTTATCTTTGATATTTAGGTTGATAGTACCAATATGACTTAATATTGCAAACTTAAATCAGCCTTGTTTTGTTTGGCTCCAATGTGCAGGGTACAACATTTTGTGTGTTGCTGCCAGACTATAAACTTCTTAAGGTCAGGGCCAGTCTCTGGGGTATAGGATAGTGTCTCCCACAGAGAAAAGGCAGAGTTAAATTGATAAAAACCATTCTTTTGCTAGTATGGATTGTCTGAAGATTTGGGGAATGCTAAAATCACTAATCATTGTGCTAATCATAGGAGTAATCTCAGGGAGACAGTTCTGAAATGCGATGAGAATTTAGTGAGTAGAATTGCTGCTAGTCCGTTCAGCATGATAGTCTTTTATATTGCTCTGAGCCTTAAAATTTGAAAACTGCAACAACTTGGATGATTTAATATATGTGGCCTCATCTGTAAAATGAGAATGTTGACCTAATGATCTTCAGAATTCCTTCTAGTTCTAAATCTTTATGAATTCATTAAGAAAATTTCAATTATTATTGCAGACTTAAAGGCAAAAGTTAGAAGGAATTATAGAGAGTTGATATATCCTTTTATCTTTGATATTTAGGTTGATAGTACCAATATGACTTAACATTGCAAATTTAAATCAGCCTTGTTTTGTTTGGCTCCAATGTGCAGGGTACAATATTTTGTATGTTGCTGCCAGGCTATAAACTTCTTAAGGTCAGGGCCAATCTCTGGAGTACAGGACAGTGTCTCTCACAGAGAAAAGGCAGTAAGTGTTTATCAAGTGAATGTATTAAGACATACCTAGGGCAAGGTATTTAGGACATAACATGTTTTGATTAGTTTTGAAAATATTCTTTATTGTAGAAAATTTTAAATATGTGTAAGAGAAGACAATAATATTGTTTTAGCTGCTATAACAGAATACCATAGATTAGGTGGCTTATAAGTAGCAGAAATTTATCACAGTTCTGAAGGTTGGAAGTACAAGATCAGGGTACTTGCATGATGAGGTTGTGATGAGGGCCCTCTTCCTGGTTGCAGACTGCTGACTTCTCATGATATCCTTACAAGGCAGAAGGATTGAGCCAGCCTTCTGGGGTCTCTTTAATAAGGGCACTAATCCCAATCTTATGAGTTCAGCCCTCATGACCTACTCACCTCTCAATGGCCCCATTTTCTAATACCATCACTTTGGGAGTTACCATTTCACCATGAATTCTGGGAGGACACAAACATTTAGACCATAGCCAATATAATGAACCTCCATTTACCCATAATCCCTACTTTAGTAGTTATGATTATTTATGTTTCATCTTTACCACCTCCCACTCTGCTCTTTCATTATTTTGAAACAAATGACAGATTTTATATCATTTAATCTGAAAATATTCTAATGTGTATCTCTCAAAGATAACAACTTGAAAAAAAATCATAGCCATACTTTTATCACACCTTCAAAGAATAACTAGTTTTGATAAATATTAAATTAATTTCACTTCAAAATATCTGGACTAAATATTTCTAAGAAACTTGTTATGTGTAGTTTCCAGACAGTTAATAACACTTAGAAATAAAAGAATAGAACTAATTTTTGTTTTGTTTTTGTTCTGTTTAATGTTTTAGGCTATCAACATGACGGCTGAAGAAACAGTGAATGTGAAAGAGGTTGAAATTATTAAGCTAATTTTAGACTTCTTGAATTCAAAGAAGCTTCACATTAGTATGTTGGCCCTTGAAAAGGAAAGTGGAGTCATAAATGGCCTATTTTCAGATGATATGCTTTTCCTGAGGTATGATTTCATTAGTACTGTGAAGTTTAATGTGGAGGAGGTAGCTCCTTCAAAGAAATATTAAGTATTAATAAGGTAATATGTACAGCACAGGTAGATCTTTATAATCATGAGAAGGCTATGTAAATGTAATTTTAAAAAGGTTTGTTTTTATAGTAGAAGATTTACAAAATAATGTTTTCAGTAGTAAGCTCCAGTCTGCTTTTTAAAAAAGTCACAAAAAAAGACCGCTTGTGACATTATCATAAAAAATATTTGACTAAGAAGTCAGAGATTCTGGAAAGATAAAATATTTCTGAAATACCATTTTTTTGGCCACAGGCATACTCACTATAGAAAAAGTATAGAAAAAGAAAAAAGAAAAATCACCTTACCACCCAAACACACCACTGATAATTTTCTACACATATTTTAAAAAATAACAGCAATTCTGTTGCATGTGTAACTTAGTATTCTGCTTTATCCACTAGTATCATAAGAATTCTCTTTGTGGTTACAAATTTATACCTTAAAATTTTTCAGTTTAGTTAATTTTCTGATGGTTCCTCTAGTTTTAGACAATTAAATTGTTTCCAAGTTTCTAATTTTTCTTAAATAAATGTTCTACTATCTTTTATACATATGACTTTTTCTCTGTCTTGGATGATTTCCTTAAAATGAGATTCTTGGAGATAGAATTACAGAGCAAAAGGGAATTAATATGTTTGCAAAAATGGGAAGCTAAATATATTCTAACTTGATTGGACAGAAAAAGAAAAACCAAAATTTCCAGACAAAAATGTATTCTGTACTTATGTGATACAAATATCCTTGACAAGGAGTACAGATTCTTGGACATGTGGCATTTTGTGACTTGGAAAGCCTTAAGAAATGAAATGTTCCTAAGTTATGGAAAAGCAACTTAGAAAAAAAAGCTTTAATATATTAGGGGAGTTTATTTAAACTCATTGCACTTGCCTGTGTTTGGTGTTATGAATGTCATCCATCTTCAGGCAGCTTAGTGATAGAGTCAGGATCCAGTACTGACGTGGTAGTCTTCTGGCAATGTCTTTCAAGAACTGCTGCTCCTGGAATTTATCAGCAGCTCTCAAATATCCCCCTCTGTGAACCTGTTGATTTGTGATGAAGTTTTCCTGGTCTGAGGTGAAATGCAAAGAATTATAGAAAAACAAGTTTTTCATTAAACTGAACATGTTAATCTCAAACAGCTGGCCTTTTAAATTGTGTCCTTCCTATTTTTCAAATATTAAAATGTCCCTTTATAAAATTACTATGATGTATATTGTAATTGATTTTTATTTTATTTTTTGTAGAATCAAAAGTTGACAATCCTATGTAAATCTTCCTGTCCATCCCTCCTTTTTTAAGTTTTATTGTTCTAAAAATCTGAAAGTAGAGAAATTGCTGTTTACAAAAGAAGAGCAGCAATAAGAATGCCTTGTAACTTTTGCGAGTTCCCACAGACAACTACAGTGGGATGAAAACTGATCTTATTCCTTGCTCTTTTTATTATCAGAGTGTAAACTTTAGTGTCAAATGCCTCAAAATGAAGAATTCACAATTTAGAGTGGGATTTCTTAACCTTGGCACCAGTCAACCTTTGGGGCCAGATAACTCTTTGCTGTGGGCATTGGGGATTGTCCTGTGCACTGTAGGATGTTTAACGGTGTTCTGACCTATACCCAGTGGATGCCAGTAGAACTGCCAGTTGTGGCATCCAAAAATGCCTCCAGACATTGCCAAATGTCTCCTGGGAGCAAAATCACAACCAGTTGAGAACCACTAATTTAGAGAAACTGAAACATCCACACACTGTCCCCTAAATAATACAGAATAGCTTTAACACTGTAAAATGAATGAGGAATAAAGGAACTTTTATATTTAGTTGACTGTTTTTACAGATGTGAAAAAATCATATATGTATTGGAATGAGGAGTGGTTGTAGATTCACAAATTCTCATACAGTGTATGTTGTTACAAATAAGTTGTAAAAAAATTTTATTTTATTATAGTGGTTGAGGGACCAAGGAAGATGTTAATCTCATTACAGACTTCAGATTGAAGTTTTAATGCTGTCTTGTCATCTATTCTGCTTTTAGTTAGCATAACCCAAATTTGATAACATAACTGAGTTTTCTTTATATAGGCAGCTAATCCTTGATGGTCAATGGGATGAAGTTCTTCAGTTCATTCAGCCTCTAGAATGTATGGAAAAATTTGACAAAAAAAGGTAAGATTTCATCTGAACTTTTTAGTATGTGATCATTGGTAGAAGCTTAGTAAAACAAAAACAATCAATAAATATTTTTTAAAAAGATTGTGTTGAGGGTGGGTCCTGGAGGGGAAAAAGATGGTGGCATGAAAAGTGTGGCAGAAATCTCCTCCCAAAACCACATATAGTTTGAAAATACAGCAAGTACAACTATTCCTAAAAGAGTGACCAGAAGTAAGAGTGCACCAGCCAGGGCTACATCTGGGAGAAGTCAACATCTGGAAAAGGGTAAAGTAAAAAAGCCGTGACCTGGCGGGACCCGAGCATTCCCCCACCCCAGCTCACTGGCAGGAGGAAGAGACTCAGAGGGGGGAGGGAGTGGAAGCACAGGACTGTTAAATACCCAGCCCTAGAAATCTACCCCACTAGAACAGACCCACATTGCATGGTGCTCTGGAGATTAGAGAGGCTGAAAACCAAAGTCAGAGACTAAGACTATGAACAGGTTCCCACAACCTGCTGTCCTGGGACAAAAGAAAAGCAGATATGTTAAAAGACTGCTCAACAGTCAGAAGGCTGCTAAAGGGGCAAGGGTTTAGAAGAAGGAACAGGTGGACAAAATTGACCTGGCATACTCAGCCCAGCAGGTTGGGAACTTTCAGGAGCTTCAGGTGCTCCATCCCCTTGGTTGGAAATGCAGCCCTGAGGTTCTCCACCATGATAAGCAGCCTGTTGTTCCTTCCTCCCCACCAGTACCTGCATGCAAACCCACTGTTTGCGCTATTGCTACAGACCAGCTGGAAGGCAGCCATGCCTACAGCAACTATATAGCTTAATGCGGAGGCTTCTCCCTGCATGCGGCTAACTGGCCCAGACACCAGAGACAGGCATGGTGACCATGAAGCATGAAAAGGCTTTGCCCTTCCTACAAACAACCAAGCTGCTTGCCTGCGACCTCCTCCATTGCCCTAGGCCATCCTGAGGGCCAACCCGCCTACAGCAGTATAGGTGATTAGCACAGAGGCCACTTCTGGCACGCAGCTAACTGGCTCAGACAGTGGAGACAGGCACAGTGACTGGGAAGCACAAAAAGGCTTTGTCCTCGCAGCAGACATATGCCGCTTGTCTGTGACCCCTGCCATTGCCCTAGGCCATCCTGAATGCTTCCCTGCCCACGGCAGCTTAGGGGGTTAACCCAGAGGCTGCTCCCTGTGCACGGTTAACCAGCACAGACAGCGGACAGGGGCAGTGTGACTGAGAAGCAGGAAGGGACTTTGTCCTCCTGGCTGACAACAGCGCCCCTTGCTTTTGACCACTCCCATTGCTCCAGGGCTATGAAAAGGAGAAGAACCTTGTTCAATCCAAAATCCTGCAAACACCAGAAAGAGGGCTTGGTGAGACTGAAATCACCAGTCTTCCTGAAAAAGAATTCAAAATAAAAATCATAAGCATGTAGATGGACCTACAGGAAAATATTCAAGAGCTAAGGAACAAATTCAGGAGGGAGATTACTGAAATGAAGGAAACAATGGAGAGATTTAAAAGCAGATTATATGAGGTAGAGGAGACAGGAAATGGAATAGAAATTGGAGAACAGGAATATAGAGAAGCTGAGAGAGAGAAAAAAGTATCTCTAAGAATGAAAGAATATTGAGAGAACTGTGTGATCAATCCAAATGAAACAATATTCGTATTATAGGGTACCACAAGAAGAAGAGAGAAAAAGGGATAGAGAGTGTATTTGAGGAAATAATTGCTCAGAACTTCCCGTCTGGGGAAGAAAATAGTATCTCACGCCATGGAGGTGCACAGATCTCCCAACACAAGGGACCCAAGGAAGACAACACCAAGGCATAATAGTTAAAATGGCAAAGATTAAGGACAAGGACAGAATATTAAAAGCAGCCAGAGAGAAAAGATCACCTACAAAGGAAAACCCATCAGGTTACAATCAGACTTCTCAGCAGAAACCTTACAGGCCAGAAGGGAGTGGCATGATATATTCAGGGCAATAAAACAGAAGGGCCTCAACCAAAGAATACTCTACCTGGCAAGATTATCATTTAAATTTGAAAGAGTGATTAAGCAATTCCCAGATGAGCAAAAGTTAAGGGAATTTACCTTCCACAAACCGTCTCTACAGGGTATTTTAAAGGGACTGCTCTAAATAGAAGTGCACCTAAGGCTATATAGCTGTCACCAGAGAAAAAACCACAGCAAAGGAAGCAGACCATTTAAATACTAACCAAGTGTAAAATTAAATCAGCTACCCACAAAGTCAGTCAAGAATACACAAAGAATACAGAATATGACACCTAACATACAAAGAGAGGAGAAGGAAGAAGGGGAGGAAAAAAAAGAATCTTTAGAGTGTGTTTATAATAGCGTAATAGGTGAGTTAAGGTATATAGTAAAGAAGGTGCCCTTGAACCTTTGTTAACCACGAATCCAAAGCCTGCAATGGCATTAAGTACATACCTATCGATAATCACCTTAAATGTAAATGGATTGAATGCACCAATCAAGACATAGAGTTACAGAATGGATAAAAAAGAAAGGCCCATCTATATATTGCCTACAAGAGACTCACTTCAAGCCCAAAGACATACAGAGACTAAAAGGGAAGGGATGGAAAAAGGTATTTCATGCAAACAATAGGGAGAAAAAAGCAGGAGTTGCAATAATCTATCAGGTAAAATAGAGTTCAAAACAAAGAAAGTAACAAGAGATAAAGAAGGACATTATATAATGATAAAGGGGTCAATCCAACAAGAAGATATAACCATTATAAATATCTATGCACCCAACATAGGAGCACCCAAATATGTACAACAAATACTAACAGAGTTAAAGGGGGAAATAGAATGCAATGCCTTAATTTTAGGAGACTTCAACACACCACTCACTCCAAAGGACAGATCAACCAGATAGAAATTAAGTAAGCACACAGGGGCACTGAACAATACCTTAGAACAGACAGACCTAACAGACATCTATAGAACACTCCACCCAAAAGCAGCAGAATACACATTCTTCTCAAGACACATGGAACATTTTCCAGAATACTAGGCCACAAAAAGAAGCTCAGCAAATTCAAAAAGATTGAAACTGTAACAACCAACTTCTCAGATCACCAAAGTATGAAACTAGAAATAAATTGTACAAAGAAAACAAAAAGGATCACAAACACATGGAGGCTTAACAACATGCACCTAAATAATCAATGGATCAGTGACCAAATTAAAACATAGATGAAGCGATATATGGAGACAAATGAAAACAACACCTCAATGCCCCAACGTCAGTGGATGCAGAGAAGGTAGTTTGAAGAAGAAAGTATATAGCAATCCAGGCCTATTTAAAGAAGGAAGGAACAATCCCAAATGAACAGTCTAAACTCACAATTATTGAAACTGGAAAAAGAAGAACAAATGAGACCTAAAGTCAATAGAAGGAGGGACATATAAAGATCAGAGTAGAAAGAAATAAAATTGAGAAGAATAAAACAATAGAATTAATGAAACCAAGAACTGGTTCTTTGAGAAAATAAATAAAATAGATAAAACCCAGCCAGACTTTTCAAGAAAAAAAGAGAATCTACACACATAAACAGAATCAGAAATGAGAAAGGAAAAATCACAACGGACACCACAGAAATGCAAAGAATTATTAGAGAATACTATGAAAATCTATATGGTAACAAACTGGACAACCTGTAAGAAAGGAAGAACTTTCTAGAAAAATACAATTTTCCAGACTGACCCAGGAAGAAACAGGAAATCTGGACAGACCAATTACCAGCAGTGAAATTGAATTGGTAATCAAAAAAACTATCCAAGAACAAAACCCCCGGGCCAGATGGATTAACTGTTGAATTTTGTCAAACAGTTAGAGAAGACATAATACCTATTCTCCTTAAAGTTTTCCAAAAAATAGAAGGGGAGGGATGACTTACAAACTCATTCTATGAAGCCAGCATCACTNAAAAAAAAAAAAGAGGGACTACTCCCAAACTCATTCTATGAAGCCAGCATCACTCTAATACCAAAACCAGGCAAAGACACCACAAAAAAAGAAAATTACAGACCAATATCCCTGATGAGCATAGATGCAAAAATATTCAACAAAAGTGTAGCAAATCAAATTCAAATATGCATCAAGAGGATCAGACATCATGATCAAGTGGGATTTATTCCAGGGATGCAAGTATGCTACACAACATTTGAAAATCTATCAATATCACCCACTTCATCAATAAAAAGGACAGAAATCACATGATCATCTCCATAGATGCTGAAAAAGCATTCAAGAAAATTTAACACCCATTCATGTTAAAAACTCTCAACAAAATGGGTATAGAGGGCAAGTACCTCAACATAATAAAGGCCATATATGACAAACCCTAAGCCCACATACTTAACAGTGAAGAGCTGAAAGCTTTCCTCTAAGATAAGGAACAAGACAAGGATGCCACTTTCCCCCCTTTTATTCAGTATAGTACTGGGGGCCCTAGCCATGACAATCAGACAACATAAGAAATAAAAGGCATCCAGATTGGTAAGGAAGAAGAAATTAAACTGTCACTGTTTGCAGATGTCATCATATTGTAAATAAAAAACTCTTAAAGAATCCACTCCAAAACTATTAGAAGTAATATATGAATTCAGGAAGTTTATAGCATAGAAAAGTAATACACAGAAATCTGTTGCATTCCTGTACATTAACGATGAACTAGCAGAAAGAGAAATCAGGAGAACAATTCCATCAAAAAGAATAAAATACCTAGGAATAAACCTAACCAAGGAAGTGAAAGACCTACACCATGAAAACAGCAAGACACTCATTTATTTATTTAAATATATTTTTTAATTTTTAAATTTTGATACCATCAATGTAAAATTACTTGAACAACATGGTTACTAGACTCCCCCTATTATCAAGTCACCTCCACATATCCCATTACAGTCACTGTCCATCATCATAGTAAGATGCTATAGAATTATTACTTGTCTTCTCTG